TTAGGAAACGATCATTTTTAAAAATTAATTGAAGCCAGTCTTTCTATTTACTTGTAGCTTTCACCATAGAATACATAGAATAATGTTTCCAAAATCCTTCAAATGTCGTTTTCGTTTATTTCCGCCCAACAGTAGTAACAATATTTCAAATTTTGTTTAGCGTTTTACCACACACGATATTCATAAAATAAGTATCAAATTTGATAACAATTAATCCAGTGATTTCCAAGATTATCTGTCTAATAAAAATCGACACAGATGACAGACGACGGACAGACGACACAGAGAGAAAGAGACGGAAAGGAGGACCTATTTTTTCATTCTTTAGCGGTCTTGAAACGTCGACATCGACAAAATTTGTTTGTTTATATTCTCCAAAATTGATAACTCAAAAACGAATCTATATAAAGTCCAGCAAAAGATAAATACAACTATTTTATGAGGCACATTTAGTACATTAGACCGCAACCTGCAATAAAACATTACGCATTAGGAATGCATTTACTAGAAACAAATACGGCCCTGGAAAGGTACAAAGGTAGCGACTAATTTTGATTGACAGCTTTGCACACAGTACGGCTTCGAAAACGACTGGACAATTTACAGCGGCAATACTCATAATTGGAGTCATTTGCATTTATCTTTTGCTGGACTTTATATAAAAGGCAATGTCCCGATTGACTGAGCTATCAACATCCAGTCCAAACCGCTAATAATAGAAATTTGAAATTTGGAGAGGATGTTCACTGCATATTGGAGGCATCGTTTAAGAAGCGATTTCTTGAAATTAATTCCCAAAAGGGTTAAAAAGGGATGGTTAAATTTATATGGGAACAATATTTCTCCGGTAAATTTACAATTTATACGTGAAACTTGCTATAAATGCTTTTCAACACAAATAATAAAACCCCTATTTAAGCATTTTCCAAGATTCAACCCCTAAGGGGGTGAAAAGGGGTGTGGCTAAGTTTGTATGGGAACAATATTTTTATGGAGATGTTTACTGAAAACTTGCTATTAATGCTCTTTAACGCAAATAATAAAACAAGTAGTTATATAGTGGGGCTTCTAGCTCAAGAAATTTGAGTTAGGAGCCCCATTACATTTTATCGAGCGTTTGTCATCGCCTTGTCCTCGTTTGACCTGACCCCTTGTTCGGCGTTGTTGACCTGGGGGTTCTGATTCTCGAAAGGGAGCGTGGGTTCGAATCCCACACCTGATAGTTTTTTTTTTGCTTTTAAATAAAACACGTTTTAATGTTACGTTATTTATTGAGGAAATATAGAATTCCGCCATTTGTAAATATTTTTGGCATTATTTAATGAACATGAACATTAGATATATGATTATTACATGCTGGAATTTCTTTGGTTAGTTTCACACAGTTTTCAATGGCTTCCAGATTTACAATTTTGAGACAATCTTTTCCTAGCGTTTCCATGAAATAATTTTTTTCCAAGATTTCAACCCCTAAGGAGTAAAAAAGGTTGTAGCTAAGTTTGTATGGGACAAATATTTCTGTTGCAATTTTACATTTTTACCTAAAACTTGGTATTAATGCTCGTCAACACAAAGAATGAAACACGCATTTAAGCATTTTCCGAGATTTAACCCCAAAGGGGGTGAAAAGTGATGGCGAAGTTTGTACGGGAAAAAATTTCTATTGTAAATTTTTACGTGGCACTTGGTATTAATACTTTTCAACATAAATCATGAAAAACATATTTCAGATTTATTGAAAAGAAAATGAAAAGGGGTGGCAAAGTTTCTATGAGAAAAATATTTTCATCGTGATTTTTACTTTTACTTTCCTTTACTTTTTTCTTTAGACGTGTACCTAATTTCATGATTCCTCGACGTTCTTATTGTCTGAAAAAGTAAATCTCCGGTTTCCATCCGGCTGTCTTCTGTAATAAACTTGTATGTTGACGACTTTGTTACGATTAGACAAATAATATCCGGAACTACCGAAATTGGATGTATTTTAAGAGTAAAGAAAATCTCATTTGAAGGAAACACTTATTAGCATTGTTACTTAACCTGTAGTTTAATAATCCACTTCTTTTTTTATTGTAACTTATAAGGGTCATTATAGCGAGAAATAAAATGGCCAAAATCATTTATAGTTTATCTAAGACACCTAACTCGTTTAATTAATTGTACATACTTCACGGACAATTTTAGACAATTCTTTCTCTTTTTATTTTCGAAAAAGACCCATTTATTTTCCCTGGAATTCGCAAAACAAAGCTACGTAATCGCAATCTTGGTTTTTCGTAGATTAAAATTAAAACGTTTACCCTTAGAAAAATTGGTCCAAGACAGAACTTCCCACACCCCTGAAGTACAGTCAAAAAAATCCATCTTCTTGTGTGACCAATTTTAAAAGATCTGAATGCATTGAAAAACAAATATAGATTCATGATATTTTCTCAAATTTTAGATACAATTTGTCTAGCAAAATTTTGAGATGACGTCATGGCGTTTTTGGGGGGAAACATATTAAGACCATAGATTTTGACTGACGATTTACCATACTTCAGATAACTTTAAAACATTTGCAAGGTTTTCATTTTCTAAGTAATAATTAGGCTTCGCATCTTAGGTTTTTTGACTTTTTATATCTACTTCAGGCATTGCAGCGAAATTTATATATTTATCTGAATTTAAAAAAATCTGTTTATTTAACGCCCATTTATTACTACCTAAAATGCCTAATTTACCGTTAGAGACCTAAAGTGTTAATTAAACGACCTAATTATAAATTTTAAAAGGCTTAAAATGGGATTCCACGACAAACGAAGCGGACGTGCTTGCACAATAGAGATTTTCCGTGAATTCATTGCTTTGGCTGACAGATTGTTTAAAAATGGGTTGTAAACAACGCCCTTGAGTTTAATGGTACGGGTTGGTGTCGCCAACTGACAACGCTGGCCTGCATTTCATTTAGATTATAGCCAGAAGGAGGTGAATCTCTGAAAACGCATTTTATTTTAGAAGTTTATTGTTAGTGATACTGAGTGTCTTTGCGTGTTAGTGAGTCTTCTGGGACCGGTTTTCATTTTTGTGCATTCAGTAAAGAATCCTCAAAATGCCTAATGTAAAATCATCCATGAAAGATAAAATCAAATTATGGTTAGGGAATAATTTGGACACTAATTTTCAATTTCCTTCTTCAACCAAAGATAATGAGTTATTCTGCAAAGTGTGTGGAAAAGTTGTAAGTAAACATTTAAAATACTGAAGCTTGAATTATGTTCACATTTTTGTTTCCTAGTTTCAGTGCGAAAAAAAATCACACATTGAACAACACTGCAGTGACGATGCACATAAAAAGAACAAGAATAAATCCAGTAAACAGACTTTATTAAACATTAGTTCCGACAATGATTTTACGCAATTTTGCACCGATTTATGTAGGGCATTTACCGCAGCAAATATTTCATGGAATAAAGTTAGTTGTCCTGAGTTTAAAAATTTTATGCATAAATATACAGGAAGGCATTTACCCTCAGAAAGCACTCTGAGAAAAAATATTTACCAAAAGTTTCCGATATGGTGAGCACTAGAATTTTTATTTAAAAACTTTTGAACATGGATTTTATAACTTACAGGTAATTAAACAAATTAGAAATTCTATTGGCAATAATGATATATAGATTAGCGTCGATCAGACGACGTACAGATTAGGAAGATGCATAGCCCATTTAGTAATTGGAAAGTTATCTTCTGAAAAAGCTGGCCGTCCATTTCTACTAGCTTTGAAGCAGCTTGATAAAACTAATAGCAACACAATCTCGAGATTTATAGACGAATCATTGGGTGTGCTATTGATAATTTTAAGTATTGAAATTATTATAATTTATTTAATTGTTAATTTGTAGCTTTATTGTGGCCAAAAGGAACTGAACACAAAAAAGTTAAATGGTTTGTATCAGATGGTGCTTCTCACATGATCAAAACTGGTACTAATTTGAAAGTGTTTTATGAAAATATAACACACTTAACATGTGTTCAGTAAATAACATAATTTGCGGTAATGGAAATGCTACCAACAATACATACATAACTGAAAACATAGATTGTTCAATATTTAATTTTGCACCCATCACTTCTTGGGATGTGGAACGCACGTTTTCAAAACTTAAGAGTGTTTTAAGCAATCAAAGGTGTAAATTTACAATCGAAAATTTAGAGAAATATATAGTTTGCTTTTGTAACTCATTTTAAATACCTGAATTAATGTGTTATTTTCTGTTAAATGCGACTTGCATTAATTTGATCACCATTTTTTGCGATAACTTAGAATTAGTGGACGTAACTATAGATCGTTTATTTATTTAATCATTTTTTTGTTTGTTACACAAAATATTTGTTTCTATAATGTTTTGTTTAATGTTTTTTTAATATATATATTTTTTGATGTATGCTTTTTCGTTGAGCAAATATTTTTTCATTCATTTTTTCACCTAAACTAAGGTTTTTATAACCTAATTAGTCAATTTTGTTACCTAAAAATGTCTCCTTTTATTCATTTTTTAACGACCTAAAATCCAAAGCCTAGTAATAATCGTAGAATGGTGTTCTAAAATTTTGATCGTCATAACTCGTGAACTTGTATTAGACAAATTAAATAATGCTAAAGTATATAAATCTGAATCCAGTCTAGATGAAATTTCATTTTATTTTCTTAAATACTGTAGTTCTAGTTTAGCTTGGTCTTTAAGTCTTTTTTCTAAAAATTCGCCTAACACTGCACATTATTGATAATGTCCTTAAATCTTTTAATGTTGTATAACACAGTACTGATATTTTTCATTCATCCTGCGTATACTATAAAAATATAAATACATAATTTTGATATTGATAGTGTCACATTTGGAAATGTATTTTCTGATTGACAATAAATCTCATTATTATTATTATCTGGTACAAAGTGTATACTAAAATTAATATACTCAAATGATTTTTTTTAATCATAACTCTTCTTCTTATTGCAGATCACGGTGCTACTGGGTCTGGTAGTAACTCTCGGCGCTCTGAGCAAACTCTTCAAATCCGAAGCAGCTTGGATCGCTTATCACGTCGGACAGGGTCTCCAGGGCATCTTCATCGCCATGCTAGTGACCTGCAATTGCCAAGTGCTAAAGCTCTACACACGAAGTATGAAATCTCGAGCTTCACGTCATATACCAGTCTACGCAAGCATGGGTCGTGCCTCTTCTACAGCAGCTGTGTCCAAATCGACCAGCCTCCAGCTCTTGACATGGGAACCAGCCCCAGATCCCGTGTAAATAAATTATACGACGCATAGTGTTTTAGTTAGTTAGGTAGTCGTCTTGACAAAAAAAATTATGTCGCGGAGAGTACGTTTCGTGGACAAAGTAGTGAGTACATATCACTTGCGAGTAATAAGTCAAAGGGTTTGCAATACTTTTATATTTTTTTAGCGAGCGGATTACTGAAACATGTGAACAGTTTTTTGTTTGTGATACACACAACTTGAAGTACCTACTTGTACCAGTTTTGAAGTCATTCGTGTTTCCCGCTACTTATCACTATAAACGTGCAAATAAGAGGCTGTAGAATAGCCATTAGATTCTAATACACTAATACCAAATAACTGAGTAATTAAATTTCATTGATTTTACAAAAGTATGCTGACTTTTTTGTTTGAATTTAATTTAAAGTCACGTCAAAGTTATGAAAAATAATTGGGGGACAAGTTATAGTGTCAAACTGATTTGTGAAGTCACCGAATGAACTGTTTAATGCATTTGAATTTTTTTTGGTTGTTTGTTAGGTATTGACTACATTACACTCGTTCTGAAATTTGTTAAACGCTGAAACATGTGCGTCACAGAATTTTTGAGATCTCATAAATTTAAATAATTGTCGGGACTTTCGTTAACCTTAATTGCTGAATTAGTTAACGAAGCGGTGTTTTTTTCGTTGGTGGAAAAAATAAATACCAACTGCCGAGAAATAATAATCAATTTGGGTGACTGTTTATAAAACAAATCCTACGGTCTTTTCGCAATTGGAATCTGTGTCGTTCTTAAATTCCAGTTGACTTTATTTTATTTAGGGGTTCTTTGTACGTTACATTTATATTGTGTAAACATTACCCATGAACAGAGCTCATTAAATTCAACTACAAAAATGTGTAATGAGGTTTAGTTGTAAATGTGGCTTGTTTTTATTCACATCATTATTAATTTAAATACAATAATTTCATCTTTCAAGTCGAAGTTTCTACTTATTTTGTTTTACACCAATTTGACGTTCATTTACTAAAACAAAATATCGATTTTAGTAGATAAATTAAGAAAGGTGAAACATTTGTCACAGTAGTTATGTGATGGGGGTTCTGCTTCACTTTGACCTCAGCTGACCTGGCCTATTCTATAACCTCCATACCAGTTCTTGCACATTGTCCACTTGAGACAGGTCAACTGAGGTTAAAGTGTGCCGGCAGCCCCGCTATATAACTACTAGCCACTATTGTCATTTTCATTTATTTAAAATTTGCCTCAATATTATTATAATGAAGAAAACGGTAAATAAAGACATAATATGTACTTATATAATTATGTATTTAGAATAAGTGAAGGTCCGATTGAATTCATGTATCCAAAAATAAGTAGTAAATTAAAATGTGGTGATATATTGAAAATAAAGACTAAATTTTGAAGGCCTATATTTAGGACCAAGGATTGAAGTATTTTTTAATTATTTTTTTTTTGCTCAAAAAATATAAAATATAATTCGAAAATGCAACACAAACACATTCCTTAAAAGTTACAGATTGCAAGAAGACGAAATAAGACAGACATATAAGATAAGATAAAAGAAAAGAAACAAAAATGGAAGAAATATCTAGTGAAAAAAAAGAAAGACTACATTTTTTACAAAACAATCAACAGTGAGGTTAAATACGTAGTCAAAGAAGCGTAGTAGAAGAAGTACAAACAGCAATCAACAAGTTGAAGACAGGAAAGGCCCCAGGGCAAGACGAAATCACATTTGAAATGCTAAATTGTATGGATTCTTTTTTAATAGAGAACATTATCTTTGGAACACCATTTCCCCCACCTTTCCTGGTGTGTTTTTTAAAGATGTATACACTTTTTCCACAATTTCCATACTTTGGTTTAATGTTAAACCTATAGTTTCTAATTTAATTTTAAAGTGAGTTTTAATGTACAAGAGTTCATTTTTAACGTTTGCTTTATTCAGGAATTCTTGAGCTTTTTTAATGCTTTGTGCATCTGTGGCTTCAAATGACATTACAACCTGAAAATATTCAATATAAGAATGATAGTAAAAAACCATTATATATTTACTGACTTGTTTTAAAACATCAAAGTGTTCTGCATAAAACAATGCTGCTTGAATCCGAGTGGTTAATACAGGTTCAGGTGGGAGAGGTGTATTTGGTAAACTGTTTTTATAAAACTCTACTCTTATTGGTGCTTTTAAAAAAATTTTCTTAACATTGCTAGTTAGTACCTGATAAGATAAAACTGATTTTGGCAAATGAGATAACCGCTAAGAAAACAGGGGGTGGGTGGGCAGGGCTAATAACTTGCCAAGATAAAACTTAACTTGGCAAATCAGATACCCTCCAATAAAAGAGAGGGCGGGTGGGTGTGGTAGGTGCTTGCTAAGATAAGACCGGTTATAGCAAATGACTGCTAAGATAAGATCGATTTTGGCAAATGACATTTCCTTTAAGAAAAGACAGGATGGGTGGGTGGGGCTAGTACCTGTTAAGATAAGACTGATTTTGCCAATGACATACCCTCTAAGAAACGAGAGGGTGGGTGGGTGGGGTTAGTACCTGATAGGATAAAACTGATTTTGGCAAATGAGATACCATCTAAGAAAATAGAGGGTGGGTGGGCGGGCTTAGTAACCCGCTAAGATAAAACTGAACTTGGCAAATGAGATACCCTCTAATAAAAGAGAGGGCGGGTGGGTGATTTAGGTACCTGCTAACTAGGACCGATTTTGGCAAATTCCTGCTAAGATAAGACCTATTTTGACAAATGACATAATCTTTAAGAAAAGAGAGGATGTTTTGTTGCTGGAAAAACTTCTTTTGAGCTTTCAGTGTTTTTATGAATCTGAAAAAGTCTCGAATGCCGTAGTTTTTTTTTTTGTAAATTATTTAAAACAATTTTGGGGGACTTTGGTGTTCTATTTTTGTAAAATTTTGACCTGACTTGTTTTTGACTTAATTTTTGGACCCAGTGTTTGTTTTTTTGAAAAATTTAAAACAATCTTGAGGTTCTCGGTGTTCTTGGAAATAATTTGAAAGTGCTTTGAAGCCTGTAGTCTCTTTTCTTATAATTTAATTAAATTTCTTACAGTACACGTCATTTGCCAAAAATCAGTCCAATCTTAGCAAGTTCAAGCCCCACCCACCCACCCATCCTCTCTTTTCTTAGAGGATATGTCATCTGCCAAAATCAGTTTTATCTTAGCAGGTATAGTTTTTCCAGTTCTAACTTGGTTTTATGATAGTACCTCATTTTGTAAAAGTTACCTTCCTTAACAATACATAGATTACTCCTGCCGGTAATAGGACAGTCATAAACAAGGATTTAACCATGTCGTTACCAGTATACTGTATAATGGTTAAATCCTTATTTATGAATGACTGTCTCATAGCCGGCAGTAGTACTCATTTGTTAAGGAAGTTTACTTTTACACATCATAAAACCGAATTAGAACTGTGTAAACTATCCTAGCCCCACCCACCCGCCCTCTCTTTTCTTAGAGGGTATTTCATTAGCCAAAATCAGTTTTATCTTAGCAGGTACTAGCCCCACCCACCCGCCCTCTATTTTCTTAGAAGGAACTCATTTGCCAAAATCAGTTTTGTCTTAGCCGGTACTAGGCCCGCCCACCCACCCTCTCTTTTCTTAGAGGGTACCTTATTTGCCAAAATCAGTCTTATCTTAGCAGGTACTAGCCCCGCCCACCCGCCCTCTCTTTTCTTAGAGTGTATGTCATTTGTCAAAATCAGTTTTATCTTAGCAGGTATAGTTTTCCCAGTACTAACTTGGTTTTATGATAGTACCTCATTATGTAAAAGTTACCTTCCTTAACAATAGATTACTCCTGCCAATGATGGGACAATCACAAATAAGGGTTTAACCATGTCGTTACCATTATACTGTATAATGGTTAAATCCTTATTTATGAATGACTGTCCCATAGACGGCAGTAGTATTCATTTGTTAAGGAAGTTTACTTTTACACATCACAAAACCGAACTGGGTAAACTATACTAGCCCCACCCATCCGCCCTCTCTTTTCTGAGAGGATATCTCATTTGCCAAAGTAAGTCTTATCTTATCAGCTACTAGCCCCGCCCACCCACCCTCTCTTTTCTTAGAGGGTATTTCATATGCCAAAATCAGTTTTATCTTGGCACCCTTTCTTTTTTTAGAGAGTATATTATTTGCCAAAATAATTGACATCTAGATAATTCAGTCTAATTGTTTCAGACACTAAATGTAACCCATGTGCCATACATGTTAAGTGTGTTATATTTTCATAAAACACCTTCAAATTAGTACCAGTTTTGATCATGTATGAAGCACCATCTGATGCAAACCATTTAACTTTTTTGTGTTCAGTTCCTTTTGGCCACAATAAACCTACAAATTAACAATTAAATAAATTATAATAATTTCAATGCTTAAAATTATCAATAGCACACCCAATGATTCGTTTATAAATCTCGAGATTGTGTTGCTATTAGTTTTATCAAGCTGCTTCAAAGCTAGTAGAAATGGACAGCCAGCTTTTTCAGAAGATAACTTCCCAATTATTAACTGGGCTATGTATCTTCCTAATCTGTCCGTCGTCTCATCGACGCTAATTGATATATTATTATTGCCAATAGAATTTCTAATTTGTTTAATTACCTGTAAATTATAAAATTTATATTAAAAAGTTTTTAAATAAAAATTCTAGTGCTGACCATATCGTAATCTTTTGGTAAATAATTTTTTCTCACAGTACTTTCTGAGGGTAAATGCCTTCCTATATATTTATGCATAAAATTTTTATACTTAGGACAACTAACTTCATTCCATGGAATATTTGCTGCGGTAAGTGCCCTACATAAATCGGTAAAAATTGCGTAAAATCATTGTCGGAACTAATGTATATATGTTACAGTTAATATCCGAAATACGTTATTATGCATAATAACTAGATATTTTAGGAATTATGCGTAATAACTACACTTGTCAGTTATTATGCATAACAACCGGAAACATTAGGAATTATGCGTAATAACAATAACGGAAATGTTTAGGTAATATTGATAATAACTAACAGAGGAACAGGAATTATGCATAATACCTGAAACATTAGTCATTAAGTATATTGCCAAATAGGCCAGGGCCGATAATTCTTGAGAACAAAAAAATTTAGAACAGGATGATACCCATTGGAAAAGGAAGAAAATATAACAAAAATAAAAGGAAAAATAATTTACGGGCGATCTGAGGTTGTGAAGTGGAAGATGGTGAGCTTTTAAGGGTAGAAAACGGTTTATCACGATTTCCGACAAAACTACAAGTCCTATCGAAAAAAGTTAAATAGCAAAGTTCTAGGTAATAAAAGGATCTACAACTTTTGTATTTAGACTTTTTTTAAATAACTTCAAAATTTATGTGAAAAACGCAAATAACCGAGTTTTTGGTTTTTTATTTTTATCTCCCCCAAAAAAAAGTTTTTTTTCCACGAAATTTGGTGAAAACTTATCTATTTATGTCCCAAAATCACTGTAATTTTTTTGATTCAAAATATTTATTTTTCTCCCTTATTTTGATTTAATATCGAAAAACCACCCTAATTTTCAATCGAAAATTCTCACGTCAAAATGTTTGCTTTTTTAAAAAAATCGGTGTGCTTTTTGTTCGTTGAAATCTCTACTTTCTAATGGTGTAAAAAAAGTATACATTACTCTGGCAAATTTTCACAGAAAATCCAAAAAAACGAAAAACTCGAATTCGAATTTTTTTTTATCATGTAAAATTTTGAGCTATTTATTAAAATTTACACTTCAATTACTCGAAAAAAATAAGATTCCATGTTACACTGATAAACTCAAAAATTTAAAATCCATTAAACAAACGCCTTCTCTTGGTGGGAGATTTGTCAATATGAAAGATAATTTAATTGATTCAGTGTTATATTGTCATTTTTACATTTATAAATATATTTGATTAATTGTAATCCATGTTTTTGTGATATCTTCTTTTTTTGGATGTTTTTTATAAAAAATATAGGCCAAATTTGACAAATTTTTATCGTCTGACTAGCAGACCCAGTTAATATTTTAGTAGTTAAACAAAAAATTAAATCAAAATAAATAAATTATAATTAAATTAAATTATAAATTATACATAAAAATTTATCGTACGACAATGATTATATTCAACAGCCATCTTGAACCCTTGCGTATCTGTGGATGAAAGTAAAGATACTAATATCGTTACTACAAAATGCGGGTTGGTGGTAGAAGGGTGAAAATTTAGGGTTATATGTATTTTTTGAAGCCAAATCTTAAAAAAATAAAAATAAAAAATTTTGTCCGAAAAATAAAAAAAAAATTTTTGGGTGGGCCCTAGGGGTATAAAAAATAGTTTACGACCTATTCTCAGACCTACCGAATATAGACAGAAAATTTCATAAAAATCAGTCAAACCGTTTCGGAAGAGTTTGGTTACACACACTGTGACACGAGAATTTTATATATTAGAAAACAATGAATTTATGATGTTTTTCTTTCCTTTTCCGGCAAACCCAGATGTTGTATCGCAACCAGAAAAACAATACAGAAATGCAACGATATTTTGAAAGATTCATATTTGAAACTATTGGACGTGAAAAATAGATCTTTTACATTTCCAGAACCTGGTTTGAGAAAATAAATGTCATAATTATCTGAATTCAATTGATTCAAAACGACCAAAATATCTTGACCCACAACTATGACAGTTTTATTAGTATCTCTGGCAGTTTCTATCGAGGTCTTAATTATGTCAGCATCAGCATCTTCTTCTGCTTGTTTACAGGAAAATCCTTGTGACTGTAGATTCCAAAAGTTTCTTTTAAATAAATCAATTCGTCAGGATTTTCTTCAAGTAAATCAGCCTGCACGTATATTTTTATAGACGATGTTGTTCATTCTTCTGATGGGCTAAAATTTTCCGTAGGCCATTCAGGTATGTAAGTTATCTTAAAATAGCAATAAATAGGCACCTATGCATATAATTTAAAAATTATCCTACAAATTTAACAAAACATTGTAGATGTCTCATAAAGTATTAAATGTATTAACTTATTTGGTTGTTAATTATAGTAGTATATTTCGATTTGCAATTTTTTAATTTCTCAATGTAACATGAAATATTACGCTTTTCGAGTAATTAACGTGTACATTTTAATAAATAGCTCCAAATTTTACATAATAATAAAAAAACAAATTTTTGAATTCGAGTTTTTTCGTTTTTTGCATTTCCTGTGAAAATTTGCCATAGTAATGTATAATTTTTTTTACACCTTCAGAAACTAGAGATTTCAGCGAACAAAAAGCACACCGATTTTTTTAAAAAGCAAATATTTTGACGTGAGAATTTTCGATTGAAAATTAGGGTGGTTTTTCGATATTAAATGAAAATAAGGGAAAAAAACAAATATTTAGAATCAAAAAAATTACAGTGAGTTTGGGACATAAATAGGTAAGTTTTCACCAAATTTTGTGAAAAAAAATTTTTTGTGGGAGATAAAAATAAAAAACCAAAAACTCGGTTATTTGCATTTTTCGCATAAATTTTGAGGAAAGAAAGTGTAAATACAAAAGTTGTAGATCTTTTTATTACCTACAACTTTGCCATTTAACTTTTTGCGATAGCACTTGTAATTTTGGCGGAAATCGTGATAAACCGTTTTCTTCCCTTAAAAGCTCACCCTCTTCCCCTTCCGGACCTCAGATTGCCCGTAGATGATTTTTCCCTTTATTTTTGTTATATTTTCTTCATTTTCCAGTGGGTATCATCCTGTTCTATTTTTTTTTCACTTTTTACCATTTTCAAAGGCTTAGAACATGTCCAGCTGATTTAAAAAAAAACGGGACAAGATGAGCAATTCAGGTTCTTATAGATCGTACATGTGATATGTAGGGGAAAGCGAGGCAGGGTGGGTAGCTTTTTGGAAAATATTATGCATAATTCCTGTTTCTGTGTTAGTTATTATCAAAATTACCTAAACGTTTCCGTTATTATGCATAATAACTGAAAATTTCAGTTATTACGCATAATTCCTAATGTTTCCCGTTATTACGCATAATAACTGATAAATTTAGTTATTACGCATAATTCCTAAAATGTCTAGTTATTATGCATAATAACGGATTTCGGATATTAGCTGTAACATATATAATAAAGTCTGTTTACTGGATTTATTCTCGTTCTTTTTATGTGCATCGCCACTGCAGTGTTGTTCAAAGTGTGATTTTTTTTCGCACTTAAACTAGGAAACAAAAATGTGAACATAATTCAAGCTTCAGTATTTTAAATGTTTACTTACAACTTTTCCACACACTTTGCAGAATAAATTGTCTTTGGTTGAAGAAGGAAATTGAAAATTAGTGTCCAAATTATTCCCCAACCATAATTTGACTTTATCTTTCATGGATGATTTTACCTTAGGCTTTTGAAGATTCTTTACTGTATGAACAAAAATCGAAACCGGCCCCAGCACACTCACTAACACTAACAATAAACTTCTAAAATAATATGCTTTTTCAGAGATTCACCTTTGTCTTAACACGTACTAGGCCTGCCCACCCACCCTCTCTTTTCATAGAGAGTATCTTATTTGCCAAAATCAGTCTTATTTTAGCAGCTACTAGCCCCGCCCACTCACCCTTTTTTTTCTTAGAGGGCATGTCATTTGCCAAAATCGATCTTATTTTAGTAGTTACTAACCCCGCCCACCCACTCTCTCTTTTCTTATAGGGAATCTCATTCGCCAAAATCGATCTTATTTAAGTAGTTATTAACCCGCGGCCACCCACCCTTTCTTTCTTAGAGAGTATCTCATTTGCCAAAATCAGTCTTATCGTAGCAGTTACTAGCCCCGCCCACCCACCCTCTCGTTTCTTAGAGGATATGTCATATGCCAAAATCAATTTTATCTTAGCAGTAGTATTGACAAACTTTTACAAAAAATGATCAAAATTTGGGAACATTGCGAGTTTGCTTATATGTACAAGCCAGGAATTTTGAACATCTTCTCTAGTGTTTAGTTGGTTGTGCTTTAATGGATTTTTCTTTTGTTGGGTTTGCTTTTGTGTCTAATTTATAAATATCTTATTAAATGTTTTTTTTTTGGTTTATTAAAAATAACAGCTTGTTTTATTAATAATTATGCACACCGATTAATGACTGCTGGTTGATATGGTTATTGTCCTAAAAAAAAATATATTATATTATGAAATTGCATTTTTTTCGAAATATACATCATAAAGAATGAAGAGTTAATCCGCCATTTTAAACACACCCGGTATATTGCAATTTTTAAGTCGTGTACCAAAAATATAGAAGAACTATCGGCTAGGTAAATAAATAAATAGAAAACTATAGTAACGGGTATACAATAAAAACAATATTTGGAGTGGGCCTTCAAATTATAATTTGCATTTGATTTATAACAGGCTAATTATTTTGGAGACTAAATAGGCAACCAAATATACTATCATTAATGCAGTCAGGTTGACAGATAATTGACATCTGACTTTCAGCAATCATGAATTTTTAACGTGACTGTTTCTGCAGGCTAAAAAAACCATACAAATTTATTTTCACCGCCTGCTCCAAGTATATTTTTTATTGTACACAGTTCGATACAGACGATACCATATTTTGCAAAATTGAGTCAATCACAAACCAGAAATCAAAAAATAACCAGCAACATACAATGTAAACTAAAAAAATCTAAACTTTATTTGATAGTTCGTTGCCCTCCAATTTCTCCCTCTCCTTCGCATCAGCATCCACACTCCAACTCTGTTCCTCCCCAGAAGTAAACACCAAAGAGAAAACAGCCGCAAAAATATTCACCCCTACCAACATCCAGAAAACGTAGGCCCATTGCTCGAACCCTTGCTTCTTCTTCGTGAAAAACGCCACCACTTCTGTGGTAGCATACCCCACAAGGGACATCGGCACCTGACTGACTCCAAAAATGGTCCCGGCGAAAGCAGGCGCTATGTCTAGAGGATTCGTATGAAAGCCTGCGGTGACCAAACCCAACAAGCCCAAAGATCCCGTAAAAACCGCAACGGAGACGACTCCGCTGTAGCCCCAGAAGGCTTGCACCGTGAAGAGACACCCAGCACCAGCGAAGAACGCAACATTGAAGAATTTTCGTATGGTAGTGGTCGAAAATTTGTCAGTTCTTTTTAATTTGTCAGCGGCCACGGAAGTCAAAACTGACACAAGATATCTCACTAAAAGTAAAACCAGTTAGATGATGTAACAATAATAATGATAATAATCACCTAGATAGGGTAGGCTCGAAAACCATCCATTTGTTTTGATATTGAAGTGCAGCACTTGACTCATGTAAGTTGGCAGTTGGTTGAAAGCTACAAAGAAAGTGCACCCAGCACAAGTATTACCCATGATCACGGACCATACAGGTCCTGAAGTCAAAAGTTTAGTCCAAGGAATTGGAGGTTTCCTTAATGAAGTGTTAACAGGCTTGATATCTTTCCTCAACTTGTCTTTTTCGCTGCTAGTTATCCTTGGATGCTCTTCTGGTGAGTCATAAATCAAGTAAAACCAACAGAGGGACCACGTTAGGGATATACTTCCCGTGACGTAGAAAACACTAGCCCAACCCCAGTAAGTTATCAAGTAGCCACAAACAGGCAACGTAATTGCAACCCCTAATGAACTAGCAGCCATATGGGACATAAAAGTTGCACGATCTGCAGGTGGTATCCATTTCGTTGCAATGGGAGGTGTTGATGGCCAGTGAATGCCTAGAGCTATCCCAAGACAGAATCTGTCCACAACTAGACAAAAGTGACCCAAATGGGCTGCTACGGGTGTGAGTAGGGTCAAAAGACTGGCCGCCAGGAGACCAGTCCCTACGACGATTTTTGCTCCTAGCTTCTCTGAGAGTCTTCCTCCTGGAATTTGGGTTATGATATAACCCCAGAAAAAGTAACCGAAAATGTCGTTTTTTTGCTTCTCGTCCCAGTTGTATCGAGGTCCGTAGTTTTCCTGTGTGGTGTTAGAGGTATTTCTGAAAATCATTTCTACTATTGCGATTGAGATGTTGACTCGGAGCATGTGGTGGATCATGAAACCTAGCAGAACGGTAATGGAGAGGACTCTTTGACATGTCAGATGTTCTAGAAGTACAGATTAAGTGTGTGTTAAATAGATGCGATAATTACGTACCTGTTGACATAATTTCGGTAGACGAAGTCTTTCAACATGTCAGACAAAAGTGATAGTTTTAATACTTGTTGATTTGGGTGGTTATTCAAAGGAGAACTGACTAGATTGGAAGAATAAATATTTGAACTGTGTGAATATACGCAGCTGGTCTAAAAGTTTTAGCCTTTTAGCAAAATCCTGTGTCACTTAGACGGTTTATTTTTATAAAAGACATTAATCATTTTTGCATCTATTAAAATCAGTATTGTCTAAATGTTTGATGAATTTATGGAAGTTATTCTTTAATATATTTAGTGTTTATATTAAGACCACTTGTGTGTATTCGCTTGTAAATCCTTCTCCATTGTTAAAATTTGGAACATGACGTATGTTCATAGTGTTTACAAGAATTTGTTTGGTTTATCGCTTCAACACGTGAATATAGTGAATTTTAAAAAGTTTGTTTTGAAACTTACTTTTTACGTAAATTCAATACAATAGATGTTTACGTCAGAACTTCAACAGCACAGTAATTCCAACTCCAAATACTTATGATGTTTCATAAATTATTATTAGAGATATTACTAGAGAAAAATTTAGACGCAAGATATTTTCACCTTCACGGACGTTTTTTTTTTAATAAAAATAAATAAAAAAGAAACCAAGAAGAAACCTGAAGTTTGGAGAAAGAAAACGACACAAAAATGGAGAAGATGTTGAAAAAATAAAATAATAATAGATGGTACCGTACAAATTTTTGTATATTCTGATTGACTTCTTCTTATGTTTTAAAAGCATAGTTTATTTTCGAAATTTCTATGAGGCGTTGCAAAATTGTACCAATTTTCTTGAAATTTTCTAGCAACGGGTCATAATATTTTGCAGAAAGATAAATGTGTGAAAATAGAATCGGTTTCTATTGTACAGAGTGTTTATAAAAACAATATATAACAACAATTTTTAAATATCGATATTTCATTTTTTTACTTTCTTAAGGAACATTGCGTATTGTATAAAAGACAATAAAAAGCAGAGTAAGATGTGTATTTGTAAAAACTGATTTATCGATACCTATTTGAAAATTGTAAAAAATTTATGAACACTGTATATTATTTTTTTTTATAATTTATGCCACATGCGTACTTTTGTTTATCTCTCCATAAATTATTACAACACAGATCTTAAAAATAGCGTTAATGCGATTTTTTTTGTTAACTAATGTATTGCTAAAAAAATTAAAGGAAAAATTGAATATTGCATCGAAATTTCAAAAATATTACAATGCTTATACAGCCTAGACAGTGACTAATAAGGATATGTAAAAATATATACGATATTCTATTTTAAAAAAACAAGATATGTGCTATGTCTCGAAAACAAGACACTCTGTATAATCGAAAATCATTTTAATCTAATATTTAATGAGACATCTAGGAATGCGAGCTTAGTGACACACCGTGTATATTTTTAGATACCCTGGTTGGGTTTTGGTATAAATTAAATTACATTTTAATATACAGAGTGTTCATACAAAACTTTGCAAACATTGCAGTTTTAGAATATCAGATAATTGGAAATTATAATGTTTTAGATTTATTTTAAAACACTACGTATATTAATCCTCAGTTTATTGATTCCATAACAAAGTACGTACTTTTTTCTATATCTCCGCAAGATATTGTAAAACAGATTTAACAAAATCCCTAATAGGTTTTTTTTTAAAGAATCTTTCAAAAATTTTAAGAAAAATGTAACAATGTTGCAACGTCACACCTAAATTTAAGAAATAAACTGTGTGTGAAATATATGTGTTTATAAAACTGACTTATGTATTATGCTATAAAAGTGGACACTGTGTATACTTGAGAATAATTTTAGTGGGTGCGTTTTAAAGAACCATATAAAAATTTTAATGAAAGAAAAAAAAACACTGAAAAGGATCATTTAAACATTATTCCTACATATTAAAAGTAATATATAATTTTGCTTTGTTATTTTGTTTTTTTTCCAAATAATATGAAAAATCGAAAGATCGAGCAATCTAAATATCAAAAAATCGAAAAGTTGAAAAATTCTGAAATTGAAAAATTCCCAAAAGTGAGAAGCCGATATGTTGGAAAATTGAAAATTCGAAAAAATGAAAGATCGAGAAATCGGGAAATCTAAAAATCGAAAATTCGAAATATCAAAAATTGAAAAACTGAAACATTGAGAAATCGAAACATCAAATGATCGAGAAATCGTTTATTCGAGAAATCTAAAAACCGAAAAACAAAGAAATGGAAAAATCGAAAAATTGGAAAATCGAAAAACCAAAAAGAAGGAAAATTTAAAAACAGAATAACTAAGAAATCTCTGAATCGGAAATTTTAAAAATCGGTAAATTGAAAAATTTAAAAACTTAAAGCCAAGTTTTCCATTTTATTAATTTTCAAATTTTTGGTTTTTCGTAATTTTATAAGTATTTTTCATTTTTTCGTTTCCTTAATTTTTCGAATTGTTTTTCGAATTTCAATTTATTTTTTTCAGTTCTTTTTGTTTTGAGGTATTTTAATTTTTCCATTTTTCAATTTTTGTAATTTTTAATTTTTCGATTTTCTAACTTTTTTCGATTCTCCTATTTTCCATTCTTCAATTTTTCGATTAGCAGTAATAAAAACAATTTAAAAATTATTCCTATAAATTAAAAGCAAATAATGTTTATTATTTAGAATTTTTTTCCAAAAATATGATGAAAGTCGAAAAATCGACAGATCGAGCAATCTAAATATCAAAAAATCGAAAAATTGAAAAATTCCCAAATGTGAAATCTTGAAAGATTGAGAAATCGAAAACTCGAGAAATCGAGAAATCGAAAAATCCAAAAGTCGGAAAGCCGATATGTTATGTTGAAAAATTGAAAATTCGAAAAAATGGAATGTTCTAAAAATTTCAAAAATGGGAAATGAAACATCAAAAAATAGTAAATTTGAAAAATTGAAAATTGAAATAATTAAAATTAAATAAAAAATTAAAATTGGAAATTCGTATAATGTAAAATTAAAAAAGCGAAATAAAGAAAAAAACTTCTGATGTAATAAAAAGAATTATCCCTCATGGAAGACCTATTGTTACTACATAAAAGAAAAATTGAAGAATTGAAAAACTGAAACATCGATAAATCCAAACAAAAGATCTAGAAATCGGGAAATCTAAAAACCGAGAAATCAAGAAATCGAAAATTCGAAACATCAATAATTGAAAAACTGAAACATCGAGAAATCGTTTATTCGAGAAATCGAAAAACCGAAAATCAAAAAATGGAAAAATCGAAACCTGAATAACTGAGAAATGTATGAATCGGAAATTTTAAAAATCGGTATATTGAAAAATCTAAAAACCTAAAGCCAAATTTTCCATTTTATGAATTTTAAAATTTTGGTTTTTCGTTTTTTAAGTATTTTTCATTTTTTCGTTTCTTTAATTTTTCGAATTGTAGTTCTTCGAATTTCAATTTTTTCTAATGTTGGATTTATTTTTTTCAGTTCTTTTTGTTTTGAGGTATTTTAATTTTTCCACTTTTCAATTTTTGTGATTTTTAATTTTTCGATTTTCTTACTTTTTGCGATTCTTCTATTTTTCCATTCTTCAATTTTTCGATTAGCAGTAATAAAAGTAATTTAAAAATTATTCCTATAAATTAAAAGCAAATAATGTTTCTTTATTATTTAGAATTTTTTTCCAAAAATGTGATGAAAGTCGAAAAATCGACTGATTGAGCAACCTAAATGTCAAAAAATCGAAGAACCAATATGTTGAAAAATCAAAAATTCGAAAAAATTAAATGTTAAGAAATTTTATAAAATGGGAAATCGAAACATCAAAAAACCGTAAATTTAAAAAAGAAATATATAAAATTAAACGAAAATTAAAATTGGAAAATCGTGAAACGTAAAATTAATCAACAAAGAAAAATTGAAGAATTGGAAAATTGAAACATCGATAATTGGAAACAAAAGATCGAGAAATAGGGAAATTTAAAAACCAAAAAATCAAGAAATCGAAAAATCGAAACATTGAAAAACCGAAAAATCAAGAAATCGAAACATCGAAAAATTTGGAAATCGAAAAATTGAAAAATCGAAAAACTAAGAAAAAGAAAAATTTAAAAACCAAATAACTGAAAAATCTAAGAATCATCTTTTTTTGAGATATGTATTTTAATTTATCATGTTTTTAATTTTTCGATTTTCAAACTTTTTTCGAAAAATCGAAACATCAAATGATCGAGAAATCGAACAGTCTAGAAGTCGAAAAACCAAAAAGTCAAGAAATCAAAATTTCGAAAAATCGGGAAATCGAAAACGTGAAAAATCGAAGAATTTTAAAAAAAGAAAAATTTGAAGAGCGATTAACTGAAAAATTTAAGAATCAGAAATTTTAAAAATCGGTAAACTGAAAAACCGAAAAATCTAAAACCAAGATTTCCATTTTATGAATTTTCAAATTTTTAGTTTTAAATTTTTCATTTTTTCGTTTCTTCAATTTTTCGGTTTGTAGTTTTTCGATTTCCAATTTTATCGAATTTTCAATTTATTTTTTCAGCTCTTTTTTTGAGATATGTATTTTAATTTATCATGTTTTTAATTTTTCGATTTTCAAACTTTTTTCGAAAAATCGAAACATCAACTGCTCGAATAGTCTAGAAATCGAAAAACCAGAAAGTCAAGAAATCGAAATACCGAAAAATCAGGAAATCGAAAAATTGAAAAATCGAAAAATTTTAAAAAAAGAAAAATTTAAACAGCGAATAACTGAAAAATCTAAGAATCAGAAATTTTAAAAATCGGTAAAGTGAAAAACCGAAAAATCTAAAACCAAGATTTCCATTTTATGAATTCTCAAATCTTTGCAATTTTTAATTTTTTGATTTTACAACTTTTTTCGATTCTTCTATTTTCCCATTTTTCAATTTTTCATTCTTCAATTTTTCGATTTTTTAGTTTCTGAATTTTTAATTATGCAATTTTTGACTCACTTTTTTCGCTTTACAGTTTCTTCGAATTCTCAATTTTTTCAATTTATACTTCTTCGATTTGGAATTTTTCAAACGAAGAA